TGTGGGACTTTGGGCTTCTGAATACAGGCCCTTTCCCTAGTACAGATACTTATAGTAGACAGAGATCTTATAGTTATGCTAGCTTCACAGCCAGTCACTGGCTTTGGGGGCAGCCTGTTTTTGGAGACAGACACGACCCAATCTGGTTCAAACCCTGCCACACCACTTAATATTTATATTTGTGTGACCTTTGGCAGGGCATTTACCCTCAGTTTCTTCCTTTGTGAAATGGGGGCAGGGAGATTAGATCAGTGGTTCTCAATTATTAAGGACCCCAAAGAGCTTTTGTTTATGTGGGTTATATGTATTCATATTTACCATGTTAGGAATGCGAATTGATACTTTTTAAAATATGTATTTATTCATTCATTAAAATAGCAGCAATAAATTCATCATATATTAACATAAATAACATTTTTATGATAATTATATTTTTTATGATAATTATATTTTCAAAAACAATTTAGTGAGAAGTGTAGCATTGTTGTACATATTTTTTAAATCTCTTTAATGTCTGACTTAACAGAAGACAAGGAGATGCTTCTGCCTACAGTCTGTGGTGCTACACTGTTTTGGTTGAAGTGTATGAAGAAAATCTGACCTCACATAGATATGTAGTTGGAAAAGAGAAGAGAATTTAATAATATCTCAATATCATTGTGAAATCAATTTTGACCTCATCTGCCCCCTGAAAGGGTTTAGGGGACCCCCCAGAGATCTGCAGAACACACTTTGAGACCTGTTAGACTCGATGTCCTCAGAGGTCCCTTCCAAGTGACCTTGGGCAGGTTACTTCCCTCTCTGGGCCTCAGTTTCCTCCTCTGTAGAGTGAGGGATTTGTACTGGTTGGCCTCCAAGGTCCCTGCTAGCTGGAGATCAAAGATCTGTCACACTTGGAAAGGAGTTTAGAGTTCTAGATCTTATCCTACGATCCATGAACTTGGGATATGTGTGTGTATACACACATACACACACACACACACACACACACACACACATATATATACACATATATTTGATAATAATTTGTTTCCTTCGTAATACTATTTATTTTCTTTTATGCGTTTAAATACATTATTCTAAAGGGGGTCCACAGGCTTCCTTAGACTACCTGAGGGGTCCAGGATACAAAAACAGGTTTACAATTAGTTCCACCCGCTCATTTTCCATAAAAGAGAGAACTCGAGGGTGAAATAAGTTCATCAAGGCCACCCAGAGAATGACACATTCATTCTGAGGATCCATTTGCTCTGTCCAGCCTTGTCTCCACCTATCTGTGTGAGGAAAGTGGTCCCTCAGCTGACACGGTGGCCCTGGGATTGCCTCCAGAAATAGCAAACCCTTTCCTCCTACCCTTCAGCAAGTTAGGTCAGAACATTCTCCCACTGAAAGCTGCAATCTTATCACTCTGATAGTAAGTGCCTGTCATTCTGCTTTGCTGTTGTTCTTATTGAGTCATTTTTCAGTTGTGTCTGACTCTCCATGACCCCATTTGGGGTTTTCTTGGTAGAGATACTGGAGTGGTTTGCCATTTCCTTCTCCAGCTCATTTTACAGAGGAGAAAACTGAAGTAAACAGGGTTAAATGACTTGCTCAGGGTCACGCAGCTAGTAACTGTCTGAGGCCGAATTTGAACTCGGGTCCTCCTGCCTCCAGGGCAAGTGTTCTACCCACTGTGCCACCTAGCTGCCCATTATTCTCCTAGTTATGTGCACATGGTCCTGCACAGCATTTCTTCAGCTGCTCTTCCTTTATGGAGAGGACAAATTGTCTTTCCTCTCCTAGATTAGGAAAAGAGTTAAAGTTATTTCCAAAGGGACTAAGACAGGATAATTAGGTTCTCCATTCTGTTCATCTGCAAATGCTTACCTGTGTCATGAAGGAGACTCTGGGTTCTTGAAGGCTGTGCAAATGGACCAGACAGCTATGGGCCCACCAGGGGTGGATGGTCTGGGGCCCACCAGGGGATAGACAGTTTGGAAGTTATGGGGGGTAGATGTCTTGGGGCCCACCAGGAGGTAGTTTGGGGCCCACCAGGGATAGATGATTTGGGGGCCACAGTTTGGAAGTTATGAGGGGGTAGATGGTTTGGGGACCAGCAGGGGTTGATAGTTTGGGGCTTACCAGGGGTAGACAGTTTGGGGCCCACCAGGGGATAGATGGTTTGGGGGCCACAGTTTGGAAGTTATGAGGAGTAGATGGTTTGGGGTCCACCAGAGGTAGATGGTTTGGGGCTCACCAGGGGTAGACAGTTTGGTGGCCACAATTTGGAAGTTATGGGGGGTAGATGGCTTGGGGCCCACTGGGGGTAGAGTGAGGCCATTGCACCCCCCAAAACCATGGGTAGGGTGATTTGGCCTGTCCAGTAACATTTGGCTTTAGATTTAGCATCATGATAATGATGGTGATGGATGATGATGGTGATGGTGATGGTGATGGTGATAGTGATGGTGCTGGTGATGGTGATGGTGATGGATGGTGATGATGACAACATATTGGCTAATATTTGACAGGGGGAGGGGGACTTGCCCAGAGTCACTTGGCACATTAGTGAAATAACTGGAATTTGTGCTGAGGCCCCAAGCTTTTCTACTGCAGAGGCTCCAAAATGTGTCTCTGCTGTGACATCCCAGAGGCCCCTTTGACATTGGTGAGCCCAGGCTCTGAGACCCAGGCAGAGAAAGTGGCTTAGGGCTGAGAGACCCTGCTGCTGTCTGCTCCCCACCCTGAGCCCTCCCAGGCTACAGCCCTATGTCCCCACCAGGAAATCAACCCTGACTTGCCTCTGAACATTCTCTTCATTGGCCTGGGTTTGTCTCTTGCTAAAGCGAGTAGGGAGGCAGAGCAGTAGACAAAAAAAGGCCCAAACTTGAAATCTGAGGAGCTGGACCCAAATCATGGCTCTGATATATCTTAGCTTAGACTAGAGTCTAGTCAAATCACTTAACCTTTCTGTCCTTCTCTAAAATAAAGACTTAAAACTTGCTCTTTCTCTGTACTACAGCTGGTGAGAGGAAAGTCCTTGGCAAACCTTAACGTGCCAGAGAACCAGTGAATCTGAGAGTTTGCTTCTGGGGGTCCCTGTACCTAGGATTGCCTTCCTCCCTTCTCCACCTCTCCAGCCCCACTCTAATGCCAAATGGCACCCACAAGAAGCTGCTTCTCACTAAAGGCCTCCAGGTTACATTTGCTCTATCCATTTGAGCCTTTGTCTGAGAACCCCATGAGGACAGAAAGTGGATATTCTTTAACCTTTGAGTCTCCCCCCAAAACTTGCTGAGCACCATGTAGGGCTTGCTAGGTCTAGGTGGCAGGGATCGGGGGGAAGGTGCCTTGTTTAGCCAAGGTGAGGCCTTGGTCTTCAGAGAGCTCACCGTTTACTAGAGAAATAAAACACATAGCGTTCTGTGATGTCCAAGGTGAAATGCCATCACTGATGTGGACAAGATATGTGGAAGGAAGTGACATTGGAGGTGAACTTTGCAAGAGTAATGAGTTGGCCCGAACCAAAGAACAGCCATTCTTCATGGCTCAACGTCAGCCCTGCAGAAGGCCTTCAGTGGAGGCCAATGGTGGCGTCATTTGTGGCTTGGCCCTGTGCTGGGAGGGAGGACTAACAGACTGGATGGCTGCAGAGCCCTCTGCCTATCCGGAAGGGTCCTGACAGGCTGGAGCACTGGGCTAAGTGCTGAGAAGATGCAGTTCAGTAGGGATCAGCATCGGGGCTCAAGAAATCAATGTCACAAATGCAAGATGGTGAGACATGGCTAGATGGTGGTTTGTCTGAAAATGATCTGGGGCTTTAGTGGGCCTATGAACCAGCAGTGTTACATGGTAGACAAAAGAGCTCATTAAACATTGGACTGCATTAGGAAAGGCCCCAGAAGAAGGTGAGAAGTACTCCTAAACTCTGCATATCTAACAACTTACGTTTGGTTGTGGGCAGCCCAGTTTAATAAAGGCTCTCATACTGGCAGGAGGCCAGAGGGTGAAGTTGGATCCACGTCCTGAAAAGGCTGGTTAAAAGAGCTGTCAATGTTTAGTTTGGACCAAAGATTCAGCGGGCATGCAGGTCGGACTAGACAGCCAGCAGAGGTCCCTTCTAACTCAATTTTGGTGATTCTTCAAACAGTAGAAAGTGAATGGTGGGCAGTGAGGGAGAGAAGGAAACAGCTTTTAAAAAAAAATTTAGTTGTGAATATAGAAATATGTTTAACTTGATTGTACATTTAGGACCCCTGTCAGATTGCTTGATGTACTGGGGAGGGAGCAGGGAGAGAGGGAGAAAAATTTGGAACTCAAAATCTTATAAAAACAAATGTTGAAAACTGTCTTTACATGAAAGAAAGAGAAAGAAAGAAAGAAAGAAAGAAAGGAAGAAAGAAAGAAAGAAGAAATTTAGTTGTGAAAGGGAAGAGAGATATGGGCCAGGAGCTGGGTTAAAGCTTTGTGGAGCCTTTTTGGGGGCGGGGGAACCTGAGGCTTTTTTAAATTTGGGGAGACCTGAAATTACTTGTAGGCAGATGGAAAGGTGCTGACATGGAGGAAGAGATTGAATGTACAAGGGACAGGAAATAGTTGCTAGAGCAAGGCCTAAGAGGAAGGAGGAGAGGAAGGGGGTAATGTGGATGAAGGGATTAGCCCAGGTCAGGAACAGATATACATCTTCTTCAACTGGAGGGAAAGAGGAGACAGAAGGAGAGGTCTGCTAAGAAGGTGTGAGGAACGGAGGATCATGGGAGGGCAAAGCATCTCAGCCACTTTCAATTGCCTCAGGGAAGTGGGGGTGGGCTCATCTCTTGTATGCATGAAGTTATATGTCATTAATGTGAAGTGATGTGAGTGAAATTAACATGTTCCAAAAAAACACGTTTGAATGAATGAATGAATGGGCCACTCAATCTAAGCCAACTGGCCAAGGCCTTGCAGGAGGGTGCAAGGCCTAGCCTAGCTCTACCTAGCTCTCAGCCTTTCCCCCCTCCCTGTATTACTCCTGGCAGACCAGTGAGAGCAGAGTTCACTTCGTGGTCCTGAGGCCTCGAGACAGCCTGATCATGGAGATGGAGACAGACTTGGGCAGCTCGAGGCCCAGCAGAAGTGGGGGCAGGACCAGTGAAAGCGATAGCAGCAGTGGCACCAGCAACCACATCAGCCTCAGCCATGGGAACAGTCCTCCCCCAATTTCAGTTCCTCAGTGGAAACCTGAGCTGGGGCACTACCCACGGCCCCTAGCTTTCTACAAGGTAAGTCCCGGCCTGTACTTCTATCACCCCTGAAACAGCCCAGAATAGAACATCAAACACCGTAGGGGTTTTAATCTTGGCTCTACAAGATCATTCTCTAGTCTGGGCCTCAGTTTCCTCCTCTGTAAAATGGTAGAGTTGGACTCCAGTTCTCTTCTAGATCTATATCCCATGATCCCATAATCCTCCAATACTGCCAGTCAGCTGGAGGGTAGGGTGGGGAAACTGGCCACACTCGGAAGGCCCCCTGGGTCCTGGGTTGGAGGCCTTTGCCTAGAGACCCAGTTTATCCTTCAAGCCTATTACATTGTAAGCCTGAGTCAGCCAGAAGGAAGTGGTTCCCCAAGTTTCCTCTGTTCTTTTGAGGATCCCCCTGCTGGCTTCCTGAGCCAGGAGAAGACTCTCACCATAAGGAAAGATGTGAAAGAGTCCCTGGGCATCACGATTGGGGGCGGCCGGGAAGGCAAACACAGTGTGCCCATCTATGTGACCAGCGTGCAGCCTGTGGGCTGTCTTTGCCGGGATAGCCGCATTCAGAGAGGTAATGGGGAGAAAGGAGGGGGGCGGGGCAGGGGAGGGCACACAACACTGCCCTTCAGTTCCAAGGTCCATTTCTCTGGCCCTCAGGCCAACCAGCCTTTTCCCCTCTGGTAGCTCATCCTATCTGAGGCCTCTGCTAGAAAGGCAGAGAGGCCAGAGCTTTTCAATCAAGAAGCCAGGGCATGAATCCTAGGTCCAGCATTCCCTAGCTATGTGACCTTGAGTGAGTGAATTGCCCTCTCTGATCTCAGCTTCCTACATCAGTCAAGTGAGGGGGCTCAACCCGAGAAGCTAAAGTTGACTCTTTGCAAATTCCACCCATTTCTGCTAGCTTGGCCTTCTGGGGACAAACAGAGCCTTTCAACCACTGGAGAAGAGCATGGGAATGCCACCCGTGCCTCATCCCTCCCCCTCAGCCTGGAACCTTCTCTTCTTCAGCTAAAATATCCCCACTTCCTTCAAGTATATGTGTGAGAGAGGGAGTGGTACTGGGAGAAGCTAAGACCTATACATAAGCAAGTGCGACGCCTGGTAGGGTGGGATAGGGACAAAGAAGAAGCTAGCAACCCAAAGATTCTGTGGCCATTAGGACACTTACCAATCACCTTAGTACAGTTATCCCTTCTGCATCACGGGGGTTAGGGGCACATTGCCCCTGCAATCTGGAAAATCCACATCGAATATTTTGGCCCTCCCTCGTAACCAGAAAAGAAGTCTGAATTATTGTGGTATTAAAAAAAATAAAATATATTGATATTATACAGTGCTATACATACATTTTTGGCATTTCTCAGTTTCCAAACTTTTTCTGTGTCATCTACTGGCCTTTGCATGTCGTCTGGGGCTTCCACAAAACTCCCCCAAAATTCTCCTTTAATTTATGCCGACCTGTAATGTAGCAAAAACGCAATGGGGAAAAGTGGCAATGTGGAGGGAATAACTGTACTCTGGACAGCTCTCTAAGACCCCAAGTTCTCAGCATCTGGGCTATAGTTGTCAAGAGCATGGATTGGGAGTCAGGGGAGGTTCTGGGTTTGAATCTTAGCTCTGTACCTTACTCTGTTATATGTCAGAACAGCCACTCCACTTTATGGGGCTCCTATAAAATGAGTTTGGACTAAAGGATATTGAAGCTGTGTTCACTTCTATGCCCTACAGACTAAAATTTTCTTGGTACAGGGGCACACTTGACTTTCCAATGGAGCGAGTGCCCCAGTCACCTCCATCCACAATGGCTTCCCCTGTTCCAGTCTTTCTCACCTCCCACTCCTCCACTCTACAGGTAACATTCTCCTAAGCATCAATGGCATAGACTTGACTTCGCTCTCCTACCAAGAGGCAGTGGCAGTCCTCAAGTCCCAGGCAGCCTTGACCATCATCGTCCTGAAAGCCCTGGACATCCTGATGCCACCTGTGAGCCTGGAGCCTTGGGCAGGTGGCCAAGACTCACCCGCGGAGTACGGTCCTAGCTGGTCTCCCCTCTGGCTGTCGTGGCTGGGGCTCCCCAGGTGAGAATGGGGCAGAACCTCTGCCATTCTGGCTTTGCTTTCCCTTGATCAGCACCTTGCCCCCAGGGGGCCAGTCTCTGGGCTGGGAGTTGCACTTGTCTTTGAATACTTGAGTCATTCATCCTAGTGAGCAGGGAAGGATAGAGGGATGTTCCCCCTAGGGCTTCAGTAGACTGAGCCACGAGGTTGAGCTCCAAATCTCTACTCCCTTCCTATATACCTGACATGGTGCCGTACATCTCTGGGCCTTGGTTTCACCACTGCCATTACAAGACGGTCATCCTCGAGCTTCCCAGGGGTGCTGCAGCAATGAAACCATACATATTCTTCTCTTTATTCTTCTCCTCCCACCCCATGAATCTAGAAAGTAAGGCCTAGGATTTCAGAACTAGAAGAGACCTCAGAGAACTCTGATTAAAACTCCCATTTTATAGATAGGAAGACTGAGGCCCAGAAAGAGAAAAAAGCTTAAAATAGTTTTTAAATTATATTAATTTTTTTTTCATTTGACAAAAATCTATTTTCTCTTCCTTCCACGTCCCTTCCAGAAAAAAAAGAAAACCTTTGTAACAGATATGTATGGTTAAGCAAAACAAATTTCCACATTGCCCATGACCAAAAATTCTGCTTCCTAAGTCTGTCACCTCTCAGTCAGGAGATGGGTGGCAGATTTCATCCTGAGTCCTCTGGAATCATGTTTGGTCCTTGTGTTCATCCTAATTCCTAAGTCTTTCAAAGGTTTTGTCTTTATAATACTGTTGTTATTGCAAAATCTCCTTGGTTCTGTTCACTTTACTCTGCATCAGTTCATACAAATCTTCCCAGGTTTCTCCAAAACTCTCTCTTATCATTTCTTACAGCACAAGAGTAGTCCATCACCTTCATATACTGTGATTTGTTCAGCCGTTCCCCCATTGATGGGTACCCCCTCAGTTTCCAATTCTTTACCTGTTACTACAAAAAGAGCTGCAATGAATATTTTTGTACATAGGGATTCCTTTTTATTCTTTCTGCCTTAGTGGCCTTGTTGCTGGGTCAAAGGGTAGGTACAAGTTTAGTAACTTTGGAGGTATAGTAAAGGACTTCTGGATCATCAAATGTTGGCTCTAGAAGAAACCTGACAGACCAGCCCATCCAGCCTTCTCATTTTACAAAGGAGGAAACTGAGGCCCAGAAAAATGAATTGACTTCAATAGGGTCACATGGGGACTTAGCCTAGGGGTTGTGAGTCATGAGATTTAGGCTGCCCCCAGTGATTATTCCTGTGTGGAACATGTGTTGAGGAGGCCAGTGGCTTCTGGCCAAGAGTGATGGGTCCCATTTCTCTGGGGCCATAAGGCTGACTTTCCCTACAATAGCCCTTCAGGGTTAATCATAGTATTGTTCACCTCATTTATGATGAGAAGACCAAGGGTGACAAAGGTAAAGAATGTGACCAGCATAACACGCCTAGTCAGTGTCAGAGCCAGAATAGGAACTTCTGGTCTTACTCCAAACCAATATACTGAGTAGCTTGGCCCCATGCTTTCCTCCTACCCATAGCCAGGGAATGACCCCAGTTTCCCCAGCCATAAAATAGGCTAAGAAATCCTACTTTCTTCTAGAGCGACTTGATGTTTGGGAAATGCACCACTCCTGTCTGAAGCATTTTCCTTCCCAGAAATCCCTGTCAGCACCATTCCAAGTGGAAGGCATTCCCTACCCACCCCTCTCCCCAATCTGTCAGTAGCCCCAGGAGCTCAGTGCCAATGGTTCAGAGGGTGTGGAAGTTATACTTCTCCCAGAAAGTGCCATGGCTAAGTTCCCTGGAGCTGGGCCTAACATTAAGGTACAGGCTGTACATGAGCTTACCTATTGGAAGATAAGGGAGGAGTCTGAGGCACCTCAGAGAAAGCAGCCAGGTCAGTCTCCTCATTTTACAAAGGAGGAAACTAAGGTGCAAGAACTTGGGTCGAGTCCTGGTTTTCTAACTAACTTGATGTGTGACCTTGGGCAGTAATAGTCATAATAATAATAATAATAATAAAAATAGAGGTAACACGGCCTAGTGGAGAAGATAACAAGCCTGAGAGCCAGGAAGCCCTGGGTTCAAGCCACACCTCTGACCCATATGGACTGTGTGACCCTGGGCAGCTCACTTCAACCTTTCCAAGACCATAACTTTCAGAGCAGATGCCAATCTGCATGGTAGAGGGAGCTTCCTCACTGATATTGTCTCTCCCACTGTAATCCCAAAGCCAGACAAAAACAATAATAACAATAACTGACTTTATATAGCACTTGAAGGTTTGAAACTCCTATTAGGTAGGTACCAGGGACATTATCATCCCCATTTTGCAGATAAAAAAACTAAGGTTCAGGGAGGCTTGTGATTTGCCCAGGGCCACACAGCCAGTGTGTGTGTGTGTGTGTGTGTGTGTGTGTGTGTGTGTGTGTGTGTGTGTGTGTGTGTGAGAGAGAGAGACAGACAGACAGACAGACAGACAGACAGATAGAGAGAGAAACAGAGAGAGAGAGAGGAGAGAGTGGAGAGGAGAGAGGGAGAGAGAGAGAGAGAAGGAGAGGGAAAGGGAGAAGCGGGGGGTGAGATTTGAACCCAAGTTTTCCTGACTCCACATGGAAACCTTCTACTACTCCACACAGCTTTACTAGCCTCAGGGGGACACATTTACTCAACTGTCAAACATTAAGGTTTGACAAGACAGTCTCTTAATGTCACTTCCAGGCCCAAAGACCTTCATTTGAAGCTGTTTGCACTCCAGGCCTTTGGTGAACGCTTGTCAGCAGCTGGACAGTACCTAAGCCTGTGCTGCTGGCCAGGGCCAGGGGACCTCAGCCAGTAAGGACTAACGATGCCATCTCTCTCTTGTGCTCTCTCCCTCTTCAGTGCCCTCCATTTGTGCCAAGATGTTGTGTTGCATAAGAACACTGATGAGAGCTGGGGTTTCAGCATCGTAGGGGGCTTCGAGGTGTCCAAAGGCAACCAGCCTTTCTTTATCAAGACCATCGTTCCTGGCACTCCAGCCTTCCGGGATCGAAGACTAAAGTAAGTATGTGGGGCCCCTCCCTAGGAACTTTTAACAACTTCTCTGTCTCCCCTCCTCCCCATTCATGCTACTGCCACTGGAGGGCAGGGCCTCATCACCTGCAGCCTAGTCTATTCCAAGGGCTTCCTTGTTGGTTGCCCTGTCTCATTTCTGACCCTGTTACTCCCCTACTCAAGAATTTCCAGTGACTCCATCTTGTCTCTAGGATCAAATACAAAACTTCTCTGTTTGGTATGTAAAGCCCTTCACAGCAGGGCTCCAAACTACTTTTCTTTTGTACTTGAAAAAAAAAAACGTATTTTTATTCTGAACTGAAACACCAAAAAAGAGCATTTTCGTACATGTAGCAGAACACAAAAAGAGGATTCTCTATGAAACTGTGCATCTCTCTTTCATACCACTTGCTTTAAAAAAAAGTAGATAATAAATTCCACATTACTTTTAAAACTGCCTTGCTTGTCTCTGTGTCCTCCCTCTGAACTTCCCTCAGTTCTCTTCTCCCTTTGGGGGGAGCACCACTACTGCTACCACATACACACACACACACACACACACACACACACACACAATTTAAAAAATGAAGAGGAAAAATAACTTGTAATAAGGATAGCCAAATGAAAGTAGTTGGTGGCCCTGCCCCCAAATGGCTACCCCTTGCTGTACCCTGAGTCCATTGATTCTGTGGCAGGAGGTGGGCAGGAGGCTTCTTCATGAGACCTCTGGAGACATCATTGACCATCTTACTGCTCAGAGTTCTTAAGCCTTTAAAGTTCTTTTCTTTTAAGGTGTTGTTGTCCTTGTATGGATTGTTCTCCCTGTTCTGTATCAGTGAAATGATGAAAGAGACAATTTCACATTATACAATCATATGCTGTTCCATTCACATTCCACAACCATTCCCCAATTGATGGGTAGCACCTTCTAGTTTAGCTCTTTGCTTTGCTTTTTTCCCTTTAAGTCCCCTCTTTGGGATCTGGAAGTTGGTTTTGCTTGTGACTTTTCCCTCCTCAGTATTATCCTCCCTCTTGGCCATTCCCATATCCCTGTTTTCCTGAACTAAATTTGGTGTATTTCCACACCAAACTGTGTTTGTTCAACCTTCTTTTGTCCATTTCAGATGAGAGTGAGGTTCATCTGAAGCCACTCTCCAACCCCCTTCTTCCATGTTCATATAATCTTCTTCTCAATCAACTGAATTATGAGGAACTGGTTCCATTCCCTTCTTTTTTTCTCATTCTTCTGGTCAGATTCTCAGGACAGGATTAATCTATACCATTAGGACTTGTTTTTTTTTTCCCATTTAAGAAAGGTTCTGAAGGGATTTTTGTTTCGTTTCCCTCGTTGGAATGTTAGCACTGCATCATCATGCTGCCCCCTTCTGATTGCTCAAATAGGTTTACTTTTCTAGGTTTTTCTTTTTACTCTTATGTTTGCATTTCAAAAGTTCCTACTCAGTTCTTGTCTTTTCATCAGAAATGCTTGGAGGTCCTTTATTTCATTGAAAGTCAATTTTCCCTCCGTAGGACTATATTCAGCTTCACATGGAAAGTTATTCTTGGATATATAAACTTAACAGTCTTAAGAGAGTTGCCCAGAGGAGGTATTAGAATTCAGGCACTCTGACTTTTTCCATTATGTTGACTGTGCTGACTGAGGCACCCAAAAGAAACCTTAAAATATACTCAGACCAAAATATCAAACATAACTTTAGCTTTCCTCTCTCTGCCTCTCCTGAGTTCCTTTGGCTTTCTTTGTTAGCAGTCCTTGCTTGACTCTTTGGCTGTCATATACCCTGGGAGGGCAAAACATTAGTCCTGCCTCCCTCCCCTTCCTGAGTTCCTCCTTGAGTCTGTCCTGGCCAGAGACTCAGAGGTTCTTTCCCTCCCAGACTGATTCTTTTTTGAAGGCAAATTAAGCCGTCTTTTGCCTCAGTTCTTACCTGGCCTTTAGTCACCGAATGGGTGTTGCCTCAGACAAACTGAGACCTGGGAAAGACCTTAGTTTTAAAAGGCCAAGGTCTCCCACTGCATCCGGGCTCATCACTAGTTGTCCTGACCTATGTCTTGCCACTGGACTCTGATGACTCTGGAGGAGAGGGTGAGGCTGGTGACTTTGCACAGCCCTGCCTCACTTAAATCCAATTCACTTGCAATTCAAGCCATCAAAACAAAGAACGAACAACAAAAACAACAATCCTCCTTGAGTTTTTGAAGGATAGGCCTAGCTCTTCAGTCAAGAGTAAAAGCAGTGTGGTATCATGGGAATAGTCCTGGTCCCGGGACTCAGAAAGCCTGGATTCAAGTTCTGACTCTGACATATCATTCCTGAGTGTCAATGGCCATCTCCTCTCTAAAATGTGGACACTAACACCCATACTTCCTACATCACAGGACCACTGGAAGGAAAATACTTTACAAAGTTTCAAATTCTATAGACATGTGAGTTACTGGTACCATGTTGCTCGGATATTTGGGAGAGTGAATAGTCTGGGATCTGGGTTGCTGGAGGAGCAGTAGGAGCTAGAGAAGGGTCCCCAGGGAGGCCATGAGAGCTGTCTTCACATACATGAAACCTCCCATGTGAAAGAGTCAACTAATTGTGTGGATCTCAAGAACTATCAATGGACAGTAGTTGTAAGGGTAGGGAAGGCCATTAGAGTTAGAGTTTGATGTACAGAATAACTTCCTAGCAAGTGGTAGTGTTGGAAAACGGGAAAGTCTGAATTTTAAGATAGGGACTTCCTCAGTTGTTATAGTTCTTCCACCAAAGACCAAACAACTACCTTTCAGAAATTATGAAGGGGACGCCTGCGTGCGCAGCTGGTTATTACTAGATGGCCTTCACCAATCTGAACCTCAGTTTCCTAATGTGTAAAATGAGGAGGTCAGATTTAATATCTTCTGAAGTCCCTTCAAGCTCAAGATTTAGGATCCTATGTGTGTGGCCTTGGGTAAGTCACTTCCCCTCAATGGGCCTCAGTTTCCTCCTCTGAAAAATGAGGTTTGTCCTCAATGGCCCATCGTGCTCTGGAATCCCTTTGAACTCTTCAGATTATCAAAAGATTGTATTTTTGTTGTTTGGCTTTTTTTCCTTGCCTATCTTGTGGGCCTCTGTAGAACCACCCCAAAGGTAACAGCCCTTTCAGTCTTGGAGGGGTCTTAGAGATCCTCTAACTTAATTATTTCACTCTGGAGATGGGAGAGAGTCAACTGCGTTCATTCATTAAGCAAGTGCTGATGTGATTACCTCTGTGCATTGGCCGATGCTAGGCACTATGGGACCATTCCCCAGGCTCTGCCCTCAAAGCACTGTTTATCTACTAAGGGGAGGCAACATGTACCCAGGTCAGTATGAAACAAGATGTGTGGCAGTGGAGCTGGGAAATAGAGATTCAGACAAAGAGCTTTAAGAAAATTGAAGGCAGGAGAGAAGATTTTGCTTAACTTGGGAAATCAAGGAAGTCTTCATGGAGGAGGAGGCAGCTGAATTGAGCCTTAATGGATGTAGATTTAAGGCATGAACGTGTGCCAGTCATGCGAAGGGGGAAGGGAGGTGACATGTATAAATACACGGGGGCATGGCAAGCTTGAGATCAGCTAGTCCAGTTTGTCCTGAATGTCGAGGGCATAATGGGACAAATATGAGCTATGTCCCAAATGGTTGCACCCAGATTAGAGAGCCTTCAATGCTAGGCTGAGGCATTTTGAGTTGATCCTAGAGGCATTAGGGGAGCTACAGAAGGTGTTTGAGCAGGGGAGAGGCATGGTCAGAAGTGTATGTCTAGGAGACTTTTGGCAACTTTGGGGAAGATGGGGTTAGTGAGGGAAGAAACTAAAGGTGGGAAAACCAGTTACGTTCTAAAAACATTCACAGTATCTCCAATTACACTTCCACTAACCAGGATTACTGACTGCTCACTCTCCCAAAACCCACTACTTCAGCAGGGGCTCTTAATCTTTCTTATCTCATGGCCCCCTTTGGCGGGCTGGGGAGGCCCCTTCTCAGAATCATCCATAATTTAAAGACAAGCTCAATTTCCATTAGTGATTATTGAAAACCAAAATTTTCCCATTGCAGTTCATGGACCTCCGAAATCTTTCCATGGTCCCCTTGGGGATCTGTGGACCCCATCTTCAGAACCCCTGCCCTAGAGCAAAGTGCCACCAATAACTCTTGTGTCTATAAGAATGCAAAATTTATAAAGCAATTTCCTCCCAGTGGTTCTGGGAGGTAGGAAGTTCAGATATTAGCATCCAGAGGCAGCTGGTGGTGCAGTGGTCTTGGAGGCAGGATGTCCTGAGTTCAAATCCAGCCTCAGGCATTCACTAGCTTTGTGACCCTGGGCAAATCACTTAACCACTGTCTGCCTCAGTTTCCTCATCTGTAAAAATGAGGATCATAATGGCATCTGCTTCACAGGGTTGTTGTGAGGTTCAAATGAGATCTGTTACAAGCACTTAGCACAGTGCTTGGCATATAGTAGGTGCTATAAAAATGCTTATTCCCTTCCCTTTCTTTTCCCATGTTACAGATGAGATGCAGGGTCCAACCGAGCCAAAACTTGAACTCAGGCTTCCTAAATCCCAGGTTCAGGCTCTTTCCATGACACCACACTGCTTCTCTCAGGCAGCTGGTCCCCTCCCTCTTCTCCTCTCATCTCTTCTCCCCTCCCTTCTCTTCCTCTCTCCTCCCCTTCTTTCCTCCCTTTTGGGATGGTTGTTCCTTTTACCACTCCTCCTCCCCCACCAAGGGTCATGAAGACTGGCAGCTGAGAGGAAGATTATGCAGGATTCTTTCAGCCCCCTCATTTTTACACATAAAGAAACCGAGACAAAGTGCCACATCCAGAAGGCAAATCCTGCCTCAGCAACTTATTAGCTGAGTGACCCTGGACAAGTTGCTTTATAAAGACAGGAGGCTGGACTCGGTGGTCCCTTTCAGCTCTAGAGATACGAGCCTATAGTCCCAGAAGGGACCTAAGAAATGCCTTGAGTTCAAACCCCGGTACCACACTGTCACAGGACAGGATCATAGGTTTATCAATTTAAAGCTGGAAAAGGCTTTTGTCATCACTAGTTCAACCCTATCATTTCACAGATGAGGAAACTGAGACCCAGAGAGAGGACATGACTTACCCAGGGTCCCATAGCTAGTAAGGCTCTGAACCAGGATTCAGTCTCAGCACCTCTGATGCTAAATCCAACATACACTACACCTGGATTGTCCAGAAGGCAAACTGAGGTCCAACTCTACTGGCACCTTCAACCAGTGGCCTAGGGGAGGGGAGAATCAGAATTATTTATTTTTATTTTTATTTTTATTTTTTTTTTTGAGAATCAGAATTATTGTAGGACTGAATTGAATATGTGAGAAAGTAATTCGAAAGAGAAAAGTGCGATGTTATAGGATCCCGGGATGTCAGAGTGGGAATCGAGACCCTTAGGAATTATCTGTTCAACCTCCTTGCTTTACAGTTGGAGAAACAGAGGCCCTTTCTAGTTCTGATCTTCTAGGATTCTGGGGTCTGAATACTTGTATGTAAATGAGATGTAAATTGTTCTACCCAACAACCGTCGCCCTGGAAGCAGCTGGTTTATCCCTCAGGCCTTTGTCAGTGGCCCTCACTCTCCCAAGAGCTGTTGGCAGTGGCAAGTGACTTGATCATTGTGCACATGTATCTCTCTCCTCCCACAGGTGTGGTGACGAGATTGTGGCTGTCAACGGGACACCAGCTGCTGGCATGAGCAATGCCCAGCTGATCCCCATGCTAAAGGAACTACGGAACCGAGTAGCTCTGACTGTGGTGTCCTGGCCAGGAAGCCTGGTTTAGAGGCTCCATCCAAGTCCCAGCTCCATCACTCAGGACCAGCTGAGGAACATGGACATCAGAGAGGCCCCCATTCCCTCAGGTAGCACTCCCACTCGATCACGTGGACCCCACTGTTTGTGACCTCGCAAGAACTCTAAACAGGACAGTGCCAGTGCCAGTGCCAGTGCTCCACCCTACTCCATCAGGGCCCCAAGCCCAGAGAGAGAGGACCAGTCAAAGCCCTCCTCACCACTTTCTCAGAAGACCAAGCCTGACGTCCATCAGTCACCTTGAGCCAATTTCTTTCGGTTCTCAGAGACTTTTGGGTGCTTATTTGTTCTTTTCCACCTCCCATCCCCGAGCACCTCCCTCACAGCAGCACCCACAACTGATCAACTTTGGGGAGAGGGTTCCATTCCCTCAGGTCAAGACTGGGCCAGCTTGTCCTCTGAATGTGACTTGATTTGAGGCTTGGAGAAAAGCTCTTTTTGACAAAGTTGAAGGGAAGGCTGCCCACAAGAGGGTCAGGGTGCAGACAGAAACCCCTTCTTCCTTCCCTCCCTCCCTCATTCCCTCCCACCTGCCCTCCTCCTTTCCTTCCCTCACTCCTGCTCCCCCACTCCCCTTCTTTCTCTCCATCCCTTCTTCTCTTCCTCCTTTCCCACCTCCATACCTTCCTGCTATTCCCTTATCCTTCCCTCAACCCTATCCACCCTCCTTTCCTACTCCATTGCCTCCTTCCTTCCCTTCCCCCATCCCACCTTCCCTCATCCCCCTACTCCCTCACTCACTTCGTCCCTCCCGCAGGGCTTCTGTCGCTCCCTGCCAGGTTCCCAACCCCCCTTCCTCTTTCTTGCCTTCCGTCCCTCCCTCTTTCCTTCCTTCCCTCCCTCTTTCCTGCCTTCCTTCCCTCCCTCTGTCATTCCCTGCCCACCTCTTTCTCTCCCTCCTCTCCTTCTTCTCACCTTGCCTCTAACCTACTTTCCTTCCTTCCCTCCCTCCCTCATTGCTGTTCCCCAATACCCCCACACCTGGATTGTCTTATTCCCTCACCCCCTCATCCCTAGCCACTACTCTCCTGACGTCTCGCCCCTGCCTTTTGAGGACCCAGAGTAATAGCTACTCTACTCTCCCTGGGCCCATGTGGCCGCCCCTCCTGCGAGCCTTTCAACTTCCAGAGCCCTGGGTCACACACTGTCTCCTGCACAGGAATTTCTCCACTCTCTCCAGGCAGCTCCTGGGGCTGGACTCTACCACCAAGTTGCAATTTTGAGCTCTGAAGGGGCCAGTGTGGAGTGAATATTCTCAACCTGGTGCAGACTTGGTGAGGGGCACCCTCTATCACCTCCTGGGACTACAATCCAGTTCTAGCCCAGATCCGTAACCTTGAGCCCTGGTCAAAGCCCTGAGCATGGGGGGGGGGGCCCTACACAGGGCTTGTTAAACAGCTACCCACAATCTCGTGTGTGTCTTGGGGCGTGCAGGGGTAACACCCTCTAGAAATTGGACACTGGCGTACACCACGTTGCCAAGGTACTGAGCATTTTCTTATTCTATCTGCTCAGTCAGAGCTGACCCCTTCAAGGTGCCAAGATCCAGCCTTCTTGGTAGGTCAGCTGGGTGAAGACTGTCCACTATCTTGAAATCTACCTGGGGTGGCCAGGGGCTGGGCAACCAACCTAAGAGCCCAGGACAGCAAGACATCAGTAAAGAGTAATTATTTAGGACCACTCCCACTCCTTTCCAAGTTGGACATTAGGAAGAAACTACCATATCCAGACAACCAGGGGTCAGGGGTGACAGCAGAGAGGGGATCTGAGAGAGCAGTGAGGACTAAGGGCCCAGTTTAATTAATACATTACAAAGCATCGGCTGCATGTGCTGCAACTCCCACCAAAAACACTTGCTCTTCAGAGGAACTTGGCCAGCCGAGGTCTGGCCTCCCTGGGGCTCCCTGGCCCCCAAGGAGCAGACTAGTGAGTGGAAGGGCCAGGTCCCCAAGGAAGAGAGGGAGAGCAGCCCTCTGCCCCCCACCACCGCCCTTCACTATTGCAGCACGGAAATGTTAGCCCGATCCCATACCGAGAAGCCACAGACCAAGTCACCTAGGAGGGCCACTGGCTGGGCCTTCCCCCTAGGCCAAGAGAAGATGGGCCAACAAAGCAGAAGCCCCCTCCTCCATAGTCCAGGCCAGCCAGCCCTGAGGCCCCAGATCATCAGTTTAATTTGCTTGCATTTGCATTTGCTGCCCAGACCTCCCAATGATACACTAGGACCGTGTCTTGGCTACTCTAATAAATGATTATGAAATGAGGAAACAAGGCCCAAGTGGTTTTTGTGCGCCATCTACTGGAAAGACTGAGTCAGCCCATGTGGGATGGGAATGCACCTTCCCCAGGACCTAGTAGGAATTGGGTATAACATCATAGACCTTAGAAGCTGTTAGAGAACTTAAGAGATCTTGAGCCAAACCAACAGTAACCCTCAACTTTACAGAGGGGAAAACCGAGGCCCAGGGAGGGGGAATGACTTTGCCCAAGGTCATACATAGGACCCTGGATGTGGATGGAGCCAGAAGAGACCTTGGAGGCCATCTGGTCCAATGCCCTCATTTAACACAGGAAACTTAGGCACAGGGTGGTTAAACCCAGGGTCATAGCAAAGGAAGGGTTTGAAGCCATTGCTCTTTCCCTGTACAATGCTTCCATCTCTAGGACCCCTTCCAGCTATGGTTTTCTGAAGCTCAGTGGGCTCTATGTGTGGCTGGCCATTTTAGGCCATAGCAAGAGTTAGGCTGAGCTACAGAGGTTGGACCGCGAAGGCCATGGTGCTTTGGGCTCCCCTCCAGGGTCCTCTGAATGACCTATTGATTGGAGAAGAAGGACAGCTTTGTAACCATAGCCGGGGTAGAGGTGGCTTAATCTCCTTTCTCTCTCCTTACTATTTCCATCTAGGGGATCAGCTGGGAGTAGGTCAGCACCTTCCTAGCATCACAAATTTAGAGTGGAAAGAGATCTCAGCCACCTAGAAGCACCTAGGTGGATAGAATAGTAGGCTTGGAAATAGGAAGACCTGAGTTCAAATCCAGCTTCAGACTTACTAGCTACTTGACCCTGGGCAAGTCACTTAACCCTGTTTGCCTCAGTTTCCTCAACTGTAAAATAGGGATCATAATAGCAGCTACCTTGCCAGGGTTAGTGTGAGGCCAAATGAGATGATAATTGGAAAGTGCTTAGCACAGTGTCTGGCACATAGTAGGTACTGTATAAATGTAAAATGAGTAACTGTCATTATTGTTGTTATTATTATTATTATTATTAATAGAGACAGTGAATAGAGCACTGGGCCTGGAAGACCTGATTTGAAATCCAGCCTCAGGCATTTGTTATCTATGTGACCCCAAGCAAATCACTCAACCTCTGTCTGCCTCAGTTTGCTCATCTGTAAAATAGAGATAATAGTAGCATCGACCTCCCAGGGTGCTTGTGAGAATCAAATGACATAATAGTTTCAAAGTGCTTAGCACAGTGTCTGGCTCCTAGTAGGTCCTATAGAAATGCTAGTAGTTCTTATCTGGTGGAACAGTGGATAGAGCACTGGGCCTGAAGTCAGGAAGACCTGAGTTCAAATCCAGCTTCAGAGTAACCATGTGACCCTGGGAAAAATCACTTAACCTCTTTCTGACTTAGTTCCCTCATCTCTAAAATGGGGATAATAATAGCATCTACCTCCCAGGGCTGTTGTAAGGATCAAATGCCATAATAATTGTAAGGTGCTTAGCATAGCAGGTGCTATATAAATATTTGTTGTTGTTGTTACTGTTATCATTATTATTATTATTATTATTATTATTTTATTCTCTGGTGGGACAGTGGATGGAGCACTGGAGCCTGGAGTCAGGAAGACCTGAGTTCAAATGCAGCCTCAGACACTCACTGACTGTGTGACCCTGGACAAGTCACTTAACCTCATCTGCCTCAGTTTCCTCACCAATAAAATGGGGATAATAACAGCACCTACCTCCCAGGACTGTAGTGAGGATCAAATGAGAATTTGTGAAGCTCTTAGCACATAGTTTCACCAGCTTTAGAACTGAGGCAATCATTCCTATTTCTCTAGCCCCTGAAGAATTCCCAAGCCCCTTCCTTCCTCAGGCCACCACAGCAGCACAGGTGGTGACCCCATTTTACAACTTTGGAAACTGAGGCCCAGAGGGGGCAAGTGGCTTGCTCAGGATTTCCACGGGCCAAACAACCTGAGTTTGCTTCCAATTCTAAAATCCCCTGATCCTGCAATGCATCTCAGCCCCTTTCTATTCCAGAAACATTTCCAGTGGCGAAAGTGGCCGATCTTAGGCCTGGTCTGAAATTGGGAGTACGGTCTGGTGCCAAAGCATTCAACACATGGCCCCCAGCACTCCCGAGTATACCTGAACCACATATAAATGTCATTGGGCAAAATTTAACAAAATAAATAAAAATACAATAAGATATAGATGATGTTAATATGTGGTTTTCGAAGTCAATATATGGCTCCTTCCTTGTGTATAGTTTCTATTTGAGTTTGACACCTTTGGCTTGGTGGGTAGCCTTGGACTCCAAAGCAGGCCGTTTTTGCTTCCCACGGGGCCCACAGGTCACCTGGACCTCTGAGCTCATCCAGCTCAATGCAGTTATTCTGTACAGCAGGGCACTGACCCATGAGCTTCCCTGGGCCTAGGCCCCCAGACTTAGCACAGGACCCAGAATATAGCAAGTATCTGATAAATGCTTCTTGGCTGCCCTCTTAAAGGCCTTTCTCAAGCTCTGCAAACTTTTCTCCAGTACTGCTCACTCCTTGGCAGGGATCATGGAGCTCGGGGAGCCATCCAGCCTGTTTTGCTACTGAGAGCAGCCAGATGCCCCTCTTGGTCCTAAGCAGGGTGCCAGCAGGGGTGGCAAGAGGCCTGGCTGGGGACTGCTCTCCTCATGCACTCTGGTTGCTGTTTCTAACTGCACCTGATTAGGGACAAAATCCTCAGTGGCACCAACCAGTTTTCATTCCATTTAGGTGGGAAGGATGGAGTGGGGTAGGGGTAGGGGACCCAGCCCACCTGAGCAACCCAAGCAGGCCTTGGGCTGGCTACAGAGGCATCTAACCTGATCCCAGCCAGGTTCAAGTGTCCATCCGGAAGGCTCCAGAGACAATTAGGCATCAGTGTGCTGTAATCACAGCTGGAGAGCGGCCCACAGTGCTGGGGCCTAGATGGAGCTCAACTGGGAGGGAGGGAGAGAGGCAGAGGCAGAGGCAGACAGACAAAGGGAGACAGAGACAGACAAAAAGAAACGGGGATGGGGGAGAGAAGCAGACAGAATAGGGAAAACAGAACGAGACAAACTGACAGAGAGATGGGGAAGAAGAGAGAGAGACGAAGAGAAGGGGAGAGACGACGAACAGAGACAAAGACAAAGGGAGAGAAAGACAAAAAAAGAGAGGGAGAGAGGCAGAGGGAATAGGGAAAACAGAGAAAAAGACAGAGAGAGAGGGAGAGAGAAAGATGGAGAGGAAGAGAGAAAGAGACAGAGAGAGACAGAGAAGAAGAGGGAGAAGGGGGAGAGGCAACAAAGAGAGACAAAGAC